TTAAATGAAATTATGTATTTGTATTTCTAAAAGAAATTAAAAATTTTTATTTGCAAATAAATTTTATTTGATTTAAATAAAAATTTATTTACAACAACTAAAATTTTAGCCCAAATAAAAAAATTACGAGACAAATATACGTTTATTTAATTCATATATATATTATATATTTGTTTCAAATAAATTTCCAATTGCTATTGTTTGAAAGTTGTAATTTATATTTTTTTTAATAACGGAAAAAAATAAATGGATCTTTTTAACGTGACCTTCATTTAAATTCAAATTTTATTTTAAAATATTCCTTTTTCGAAATTAATCATTATTATGTTGATTTAGAATTTTCTGCTTTTTCATTATAAAAAAAAAAAAAAAAAAAAAAAGTATTGTCATTGAAATTATATTTCAAATTGAAAGGAAAATTTTCAATAGTCGAAACTACGATACAAAAAAATTCATTAAAATTATCAAATTTAATTTTTTTTTTAATAATTGAAGTGGTATTTATAATAATCCAATTATAAAAAAAAGTGAAGTTTTTATTGAAATCAGTTGTGTGGAAAATTTGCTAATTGGAGAATGGAGTGCATATAATTGGTAAATGTTTATATTTAAAAAAAAAAAAAAAAAATGTAATCATGATTATTAATCATTATTATGTCAGTTCACTTTTTAGTTTGATTAAATAAATATATTTTTATTATAACAATAATAATAATAATAATTTGACCCCGAAAGGTTGAGTGTCAATGAACTGGATCTCGATTTAAAAAGATTATATTCTCTCGAAAAATTTATATTGAGTATTATAAACTTTACTTGGTGAATCGTTTTTCTTGTGATATAGGGGAGGGGGGATAAACATGATGATCGAGGACATAAAAAAACCGGGAGGAGGCCAGGCCAATGCCCGAGCCAACTTTTGAGGTTAGCTGAGTCGTCAGAGCCTCATCGTCAGTGCCATGCAATAAGAAAAACATTCGTCACTTTCAAAGTGATTTCGACAGTTGCTTTTTAATGATATTGCATACATATATATATACACATGTACATAATATACAATATTTACCATCCATATGTAAAGAAAGTCAAAAAAAAAAAAAGAAAAGGTTTGCTCTTTTTTTTCGAAATTTTTTCAGCCGCAAAAAAAAATTCTCCTAAATCTCATCCAACGGAAACTGTTTCTAAATGGAAAATTTTATATACATATGTATTGAAAAAATAGTTGACTCCCATGATGAGGAAAAGAAAAAAATTTTCTAACAACCGGAAAATATTAGGAAAATGAAAAATTTTTTTGTATACAATTTAGAGAGACAAATGGACCAGGAAGTAATACGAAATAAAAAAAATTTTCTAACATCCACTAGAAAAAAAAAAAAAAAAAAATAGAGAAAGAAACCCTTGTCAAATGACTCAATTTTTTTTTTGGTGTCAAGCCATATTTTAGGGCTGCAATAAAACTAGAAGAAAGATTTTTAAAGATTGTAAAACATCTGGTGTAAATTGAAGGCAGTTTATAAATAGAAATTGGAAAAATACAAAAACGAAATAGTTGAAAAATATATTCCCCTTTTACTATTAAAAATCCTATTAAAAATTCAGTTAATTTATCTTAAAAAATTGAGTTCATTTTTAAATAAAAATTAACTTACAAAAAAAGCGAGTAACTGAAAAAGAAATAATTTAATCGCTTTTATAATAATTCATGTTACATAGAGTAACCATATAGTTTAGTGAAGTTATGAATAATTTTCAAGTTTCGTGGGTTTCTTAAAAAAAAAAAAAGGAAAAAAAGAAAAAAAAGAAAAAAAAATTAAATCAAGAGGTCAGAAGTTACGTAAAAGAGCAATCCGGGTTGCCTACGTGCTCCAGAACAGGAACTCGGGCACAAGGTGCATGAACTCGCAGATTTCATGTTGCATTATACTGCATAGGCAACCTGATTTACTCTCACCTAACGTGCTCCAAATTATTTTCCCCTGAAATTTCAAACTTAGCATTGAGAACATTACGAAACTCTTAACTGGCATTTAATGCAATTTATATAGAATACATTTTTTTTCCTTTTCATTACATGTAACTATATAACTCAGAAATCGTTAGCATTATTTATAGATATTTATTCACAATCGAGATAATGTCTAATAATTAATAATAATAAAAAAAGCAAAATTATTAACATTATAAATTATTATAAGAAAACTAAATGTTTTTAGTAATTTATATTAATTGTAAAGGTTTCATATTATGATATTAAAATAAAATTTAATGCTCTTATTTTAATTTTATATTTCAGCTTATTTTAATCGTATTTTTTAGCTTATTTTAGTTTATTTAAATTATATATTTTTACTTTAATTTTATATATATTTTATTTCAGCTTATTTCAATACTAAATTTTAGTTTATTACTCGGTTTATTACTTATAAGTAGTAGAAAACTGCTAGTAATAGAAAGCTATTAATGTAGAAATCTACTAGTAAAAAGCTACTAATAGTACGTAACTACTAGTAGAAAGCTACTAATAGTAGAAATCTACTAAAAGTAGAAAGCTACTAATAGTAAAAATCTACTACTAGCACAAAACTACTAGGAAAAAGCCACTAATAGTAGATATCTACTAGTAGGATGCTACTAATAGTAGAAAGCTACTAAAAGTAGAAATCTACTGGTAGTAAAAAGCTACTAAATGTAGAAAACTATTAGTAAAAAGCTACTAATAGTAAGAAGGTACCAGTAGGAAGCTACTAATAGTAGGAAGGTACCAGTAAAAAGCTACTAGTAATAAAAAGCTACTAATAGTAAAAATATACTAGTAGAAAGTTACTAATAGTAAAAATCTACTAGTAAATAGCTACTAATAGTAGAAAAGTACTAGTAAAAAGCTACTAATAGTAGGAAGGTACCAGTAAAAAGCTAGTAGTAATAAAAAGCTACTAATAGTAGCAAATTTCTAATAAAAAGCTACTAATAGTACAAATATACTAGTAGAAAGCTACTAATATTAAAAATCTACTACTAGCACAAAACTACTAGAAAAAAGCCACTAATAGTAAATATCTACTAGTAGGGTGCTACTAAGAATAGAAATCTACTAGTAGGGTGCTACTAGGAGTAGAAATCTACTAAAAGTAGAAAGCTACTAATAGTAGGAAGCAACTAGGAAAAAGTCCCTAATAGTAGATGTCTACTAGTAGAATGCTACTAATAGTAGAAAGCTACTAAAAGTTTAAATTTACTGGTAGTAGAAAGCTACTAAATGTCAGAAGGTACTAGTAGAAAGCTACTAATAATAGGAAGGTACTAGTAGAAAGCTACTAATAGTAGGAAGGTACCAGTAAAAAGCTACTAATAGTAGCAAATTTCTAATAAAAAGCTACTAATAGTCAAAATATACTAGTAGAAAGCTACTAATAGTATAAAAGTACTAGTAAAAAGCTACTAATAGTAGAAAAGTACTAGTAGGAAGCTACTAATAGTAGGAAACTACTAGCAGTAAAAAACTACTAGTAGTAGAAAGCTACTAAAAGTAAAAAGATATTAATAGTAGAAAACTACTACTAATAGGAAGCTACTAATAGTAGAAATCTACCGATAGGAAAAAAACTACTACTAGTAAAAAGCTACTACAAGTAGAAAACTACCACTAGTATAAAACTACTACTAGTAGAAAAAACTACTACTAGTAGAAAAAACTTCTACAAAACTACTAATTCGTTTAGTAAATTCTAATAAATAATTACTAATTTTCTACTATCAATTAGTCATTTTTGATTAAAAATTAGTGAAAATACTAATTTCCCCCTTTTGTTTCCCTTCCTCCTTAAAAAAACTACTTTTACATTTGTTACTATTTTTTTCAACTATAAACATTTTTTCGAAATTTATATTCCTACAACAATATTCGCATCATTATCATTCGATTTTAATACGTGACTTTAAAAAAGGAAAAAAAATCTAAGAAAAATGTTAACTCGAAATTCCCTGCGGTAGGTCAGTATTATCATTGTATCGAGAAACAATGAGCAGTAGTAGCAGTATATAGTAAGGATGGTGAAAGCCTCGTCCGGGAAATGGGAGAGAGTATAATCGGGAGCCAAGTGGTTAGAATTGTTACTTTCTCCATTCGAGGTAACATATATATATAAATAAGAATGGCGAGCAAACGTAACTCACTTACGTAACGCAAAAGAACGCTCTCGAGAATAATTCGAGAATATATGTGTGTGTGTGTGTGGGTCATCACTCCCCTCTACTTTTTTTATGCGTGTACGCACTCCCCTCCCCTTTTTGGACCAATAAATATACATACATACATACAAGCGAAGCTGACACAAGTAGTGGTGACCTTCGATGAGTGGCCAATGGTGGAAGGGGGGACGATAGTTACATGTATGTGTATAGAGGAGGAGGAGGGGGGGAGGGAGAATAGAACCCAGTTGGAGTTCGTTGACCCGAGTCTCGCTGCGAGTTCAGCCGCTCTTGTGCGACTCGACGCAAAACGGGAGAGGGGTCGCTCGGTTAATTTCATCTTGCCCCAGTTACGGGTCGAACAGGGTGAACGAACTAGCCTCGCGCCAAGGCCCCGTCGACCCACTTTCTTGCAAAGAGAGGAACCTCCAAAGTGGGGGGATACCAAATATGAGAAAAGGAGAAGGGAGGGGAGGGGGTTTGAGAAAGGGAGGGAGGATTATTGAGACAAAGAGAGAGAGAGAGAGAGAGAAAGAGAGGGGGGAGGGGGAAAGTGTTGGAGAGGCTCGGCGCGCACTATCTAGGCTAGGACCGATCGCCGCGAGCAAAATGCGCCGAGCGCGTGAAAGAATTGTGAGCGCTGTGTGTGGAAGGCCGTTTCCAAGAGGGCAACGAACTGGCCTCCTACCCGGGTGCCGCGACCCACATTCCACCGCTGGAAAGTGAAACTGCCGCCTCCGCTTAAGTGTAACTGATTATTTTTCTATTTCTATTTTTTTTTTTTTTTTTTTTTTTTTTTTCAAACTCACCAGCTAAAACTCTTCCTAAAAGATTTTCGCTGTCATGATGATGATTATGATGATGATGATTAGTGACACGATAGGAATCCTTTTCTTCCAGAATCTCAGGACTAAGAATATCACCGGAAGACTGTTGTTGTTGTTGTTGTTGAATATCAGCGCTACCGCGCGGTTTTAACTCCTGCACGGTCATCGCCTGAACACACCAATCTTCAACACGTTTGTCTATCATCCCCACCCCCCTTAATAATAATAATAATAATAATTAAATCACTATCACTTTGTCTCTAGTCCTAAAATTAGGAAGCAATTAATAAACATAACACGGTTTTTTTTTGGAAGACAAATTCTTTACTTGTTTACTATCGGTGTCCTTTTTTGTTGGAAGGGGTGAAAAGGGGGAGGGCCGCGCACTCACTTAAAAAAAAATCAAAACCGAGGTGCAATGGGACATTTTTTTTTTTTTGCAAGAAAAAAAAAAACCGCGTGGTAATCTCGGGAGTAACGAAAGAGCGTATAGTTTAAGTGGTTGTGTATGGCATGCGGTGCGCTGCGCGAGTGAGTTTACCGCGACAGGGTAATATCGCAAGTCCGTGCGCTTGCGCGATTTATCTCCTTCAAAACGGGAGAGTTGTGTCGCGTGCTCTCTAGGCACCCCGCTCCTCCTAAAACAAGTTGATTGTATTTTACGAGATGCAATGTATGTGTGTGTGTGTGTTTTTTTTTATTTTATTTTTATTTCATCCGGAAAACCATCAGGTGATTACACTTTTGTCACACAGAGTAAATATTTATTAATAATGATTAACGCGATGATGCTGGGATTAATGAAATTAATTTAAGAAAAGTACTTTTTTTTTGCGAAAAGATTCAAATAATTTTATGAATTTTTTAAATCTACTATTAGCACAAGACTACTAGGAAAAAGGCACTAATAGTAGATATCTACTAGTAGGATGCTACTAATAGTAGAAATCTACTAAAAGTAGAAAGCTACTAATAGTAAAAATCTACTACTAGCACAAAACTACTAGGAAAAATCAACTAATAGTAGGTATCTACTAGTAGGGTGCTACTAAGAGTATAAATCTACTAGTAGGGTGCTGCTAAGAGTAGAAATTAAATAAAAGTAGAAAGCTACTAATACTAGGAAGCAACTAGGAAAAAGTCACTAATAGTAGATATCTACTAGTAGGATGCTACTAATAGTAGAAATCTACTAAAAGTAGAAAGCTACTAACAGTAAAAATCTACTACTAGCACAAAACTACTAGGAAAAATCAACTAATAGTAGATATCTACTAGTAGGGTGCTACTAAGAGTATAAATCTACTAGTAGGGTGCTGCTAAGAGTAGAAATTTAATAAAAGTAGAAAGCTACTAATACTAGGAAGCAACTAGGAAAAAGTCACTAATAGTAGATATCTACTAGTAGGATGCTACTAATAGTAGAAATCTACTAAAAGTAGAAAGCTACTAACAGTAAAAATCTACTACTAGCACAAAACTACTAGGAAAAAGGCACTAATAGTAGATATCTACTAGTAGGATGCTACTAATAGTAGAAATCTACTAAAAGTAGAAAGCTACTAATAGTAAAAATCTACTACTAGCACAAAACTACTAGGAAAAAGCCACTAATAGTAGATATCTACTAGTAGGGTGCTATTAAAAGTATAAATCTACTAGTAGGGTGCTGCTAAGAGTAGAAATTTACTAAAAGTAGAAAGCTACTAATAGTAGGAAGCAACTAGGAAAAAGTCACTAATAGTAGATGTCTACTAGTAGGATTCTACTAATAGTAGAAAGCTACTAAAAGTAGAAATCTACTGGTAGTAGAAAGCTACTAAATGTAGAAAACTATTAGTAAAAAGCTACTAATAGTAAGAAGGTACCAGTAGAATGCTACTAATAGTAGAAAGGTACCAGGGATTAATGAAATTAATTTAAGAAAAGTACTTTTTTTTTTGCGAAAAGTATCAAATAATTTTAGGAATTTTTTTTTTTTAGATCTATAAATGAAAAAAATCTTCACCTGGAACAGCGATTAGTTTCACTTGAATAGCAAATAGACTAAAATAGTGAAAGTTTTCGCTATTCTAGAGAAACATATCGCTGTTACAGATAAATATTTTTTTCCGTGAAAAAATTTACTTTTTTTCGCAAAGAGATTCATTTTTTGTGAATAGTAAATATTTTTATAATTTTTTTTTTAATGCTGGATTATAAAACAAAGGTGTACTGAAAGGGACTCTAGAAGTAAAAAAAAATTGTAGGTTATGTCTAACGATAGTTGTTACCTTGATTAAAAGTTTCTTTTATTAAAATCAGTTTTTATTGATTATTTCAGATGTATGAAAATTTACTCTCTAAATTTCAATTAGTAAAAATGTTTACTTAAATTAGTGATTCATTTTTTACTTTAGAATTAGTTAAATTTTTCTAATTGTTAGTAAAAGTTACTAATAATTAGTAAAATTTTACTAATTGAGAAGCGAGTCACTAATTAAAATTAGTAAACTTTTTTTACTAATTCAGATTTAGAGAGTTGATTTGTATTAAAATTGTGTATTTTCAAAACATAACCTATAAATTATTGCTTGTAGGATACCATTTATTTGAATTAAATAATCGGTTACTTTTATCGACTCTCTAAATTTGAATTAATTTTTATATGAATAAAGTTAACTGCTACTCGAAAAAAATCTTTACCTAGTACAGCGATACATTTCTCTAGAATAGCGAAAAGTTTCCCTGTTTTAGTGAAACACATCACTGTTCCAGTGAAACTTATCGTTGTTGTAGGTAAAGATTTTTTTTCCACCTAGAAATTTTTCGAGTGGGACAGTTAAAATTTTTTCAATAATAATAATAATTTTTTTTTTAATACTGAAGTATTTTTAAAGTTATAAAATCCAATAAATCGTTCGTTAACTTGCCACTTATATTTGTAATCGCACAAATTGACCTCGAGAAGAGGCCCTTATCAAAGAAGATTGACTTTTTTTTCTATTTTTTTTTTTAATTCAGTCATGCTTACTGGAAATATATATACATATATATATGTATACGATATGAAACGATGTCTCCTCCGTCTTATCGTAATGAGATAACAAGACTATCATATTCGCCAAGCATATGCTCTTGATGGAACGTCCTATGCCATCGGCCAATTGGCACGGTTGACCCGTCATTAGGATCAAGGATTTTTGTCGACGGGTTTTACTTGCATGCATGGGTCACTATTACATTAATACACACAGCCGTCGGAGTGCGATAAGGCGAGAAACAAGCAATACTATATGCTTCGAAGAGTCTTTTTACGCGGTTCACTCAAAGTTTTATTTTTATGTCTGATGGACACAATCATTTTTCACGAGGGCCGACTATAAAGGACTCTCTGCCAAGAGTAAATATTTTTTCAAATAAAAGGAAAAATTATCTTTACAATTTTTAAGTTTTTGTCCTAAACCCGTGTAGAAATCGGAATGAAACGCTGATCAGGGATTTCCTAATCAGGGCCACAATAGGCGCGGCGTTTCATTCCCTAATAGAACAACCTGTTCAGGCCCCAATCTGAGCCCTGGTAAAATTTCTGCACGGGAAGTATGCTTTTTTTAAAATTAGAATATTTTCAACTTTTTTTCCAATATTTCTTTTTTTGGGAGGAAAAAAAGTGAAAAATATTCTAATTTTAAAAAAAGCATTTACCATTGTTTTTAATTGAGAGCAATAATAACGAGAATTATCTAAAAGTTTCTATCTAAATCTGATTTTAAATCATAATTTTTTTTATGTTTTTTTTTTTTTTGCAATTAACTGAAAATAAGAACTAAATATCAATTGTTGACATACTAAGTTCCCCTGACACACTGACTCACAATGAATGAATACAAGGAAAGTGAAAGCTCATTTGTGAAAACAGGTTTTGGAATTGACCGAATGTGACTGTCCGATATAATATGTTGAACCGCAGGTGAAAGGAGAGAACAAAATAGAGGGACTACGATAAAAGGTTCTAGCTTGACATAACCTTACCTAATTTTAACATCAGCCTAAAAGATGAGTCGACGAGGAACAATTTATCTTCCTATCTTGGCTCTCTTTCGATTCCTTTCTTTGCTTTCCCTTTTTGCACACACACACACACTTTCCTTTCACGACTTCCTGTCGTGTGAAATAAACTTCCCGGCGTGATTTTATTTTTCCAATACAATTTTGACAAAAACCTCGCGAAAACAAAATCGAATTAAAAAAAAATTAAAAAATTTTCCCCAAAAAAAATGCAACTTATAAGTAGTAGAAAACTGCTAGTAATTGAAAGCTATTAATGTAGAAATCTACTAGTAAAAAGCTACTAATAGTAGGTAATTACTAGTAGAAAGCTACTAATGTAGAAATTTACAAGTAAAAAGTTACTAATAGTAGATAACGACTAGTAGAAAGCTACTAATAGTAGATAACTACTAGTAGAAAGCTACTAATAGTAGAAATCTACTATTAGCACAAGACTACTAGGAATAAGGCACTAATAGTAGATATCTACTAGTAGGATGCTACTAATAGTACAAAGCTACTAAAAGTAGAAAGCTACTACTAGCACAAAACTACTAAGAAAAAGTCACTAATAGTAGATATCTACTAGTAGGATGCTACTAATAGTAGAAATGTACTAAAAGTAGAAAGTTACTAATAGTAGGAAGCAACTAGGAAAGTCACTAATAGTAGAAAGCTGCTAAAAGTAGAAATCTACTGGCAGTAGAAAGCTACTAAATGTAGAAAACTATTAGTAGAAAGCTACTAAATGTAGAAATCTACTGGTAGTAGAAAGCTACTAAAAGTAGAAAGCTACTAATAGTAAAAATCTACTACTAGGAAAAAGCCACTAATAGTAGATATCTACTAGTAGGGTGCTACTAAGAGTAGAAATCTACTAAAAGTAGAAAGCTACTAATAGTAGGAAGCAACTAGGAAAGTCACTAATAGTAGAAAGCTGCTAAAAGTAGAAATCTACTGGCAGTAGAAAGCTACTAAATGTAGAAAACTATTAGTAGAAAGCTACTAAATGTAGAAAACTATTAGTAAAAAGCTACTAATAGTAAGAAGGTACCAGTAGAAAGCTACTAATAGTAGAAAGGTACCAGTAAAAAGCTACTAGTAATAAAAAGCTACTAATAGTAAAAATATACTAGTAGAAAGTTATTAATAATAAAAATCTACTAGTAAATAGCTACTAATAGTAGAAAAGTACTAGTAAAAAGCTACTAATAGTAAAAATATACTAGTAGAAAGCTACTAATAGTAAAAATCTACTATTAAATAGCTACTAATAGTAAAAAAGTACTAGTAAAAAGCTACTAATTGTAGAAAAGTACTAGTAGGAAGCTACTAATAGTACTACTAATAGAAAACAAAATCGAATTAAACAAAATTAAAATTTTCCCAAAAAAAAAAAATGAAAGTCCAA